TGGCATAAGATTGTGTGAGAGTCCTAGGATCAATATTTTGTTAAATGTGATAATTCTGAAAACGAATGCAAACATAGGTGATCCAATTCACTAAATCTCGTGACAACATTTGTTTTTCAGAAAGTTCCCAAAACCTAGTGAAAACCTATGTTTTATGAATAACGCATTTTTGTCTATTTTTGAGTACAATTAAAAAATTTATAACCCAGTCAAGATCTATCCAAATTATGTCAGAATATCAACCTGTACTCTATTTCACCTACTCCATATGCTTTTGTAATTGAGAATGGTAAGAAATATCCTTGTAATTCGGAAGATTTTTAGAAAACCTTTTCAAAAATCAAAGTATTTTCTGTTGATTTTTAAGGCTTTTGTTGGACTGCATAGTACTGAGCAGATGAAATAGAGTATATCTGGATATTCTGATATAATTTGATTGGACCTTGTCTGAGTTATGAACTTCTTGATTTTACTCACAACTAGACAAAAATGAGACATTTCACCTAATATACGGTGAAATAGAGTATGTCTTGATATGATGACATAATCTGGATGGAGCTTGACTGGGTTATGAATTTTCTAGTTTTACTCAAAAATAGGTTATTGCATAAAATGATTTTCGAAAGATCTGCTCAGAAATCAGTTTGAAAATTGTTTTGAAAAATATTTTTTCCGTATCCAAAAACTAGCCTCAGGTGTCTGCTTTCGGGTGCTGAAAGCCGCAACGTTCTACCTTAGGCTGTTATTGAGTAATTAAGAAAATGGCAACCTGCGCTGTATTTTGGCGCCGATAATAGTTTTACATACAATAGTTATTAGTCCTGTATGGAGGGATAAAACAGAAAGGGATAAAACTTTAAAGTGAATAGATAGAGATACGGACATATGCATCTCTATCACCGTTTGTTCTCGAGCTACTCAAAAAACATCCGCTGGTATTCTTTTGTGAAACGCATAGCCGTTAGATTTAAATCGATGAAACAAAACTTTTAGCAGTGGTAAAACTCTCCTTTTATATTACAGTTATAGGTGATTCTTCATCATAGTTTCGTTTTTCTGTTCCAAACAACCACTTTCCTTGTTGATCGACATGCCATCCAATTGAACTGATGTCTTTCGCTCGTTTTCTTAATGCCATTATGTCCAATAAATGCAATTCAACACCAAAGCTGGTGCTAACAATCTGACGGGAATGCCCGCTTGAAGTTCTGTTATACATCCTATTAGTGCTCCTGTTGTAAATCGAAACGGGTTGAGAAAGCGGTAGATAATCATTTTGTTTCTCCACCATTGTTTAATTGGCAATACATTTTCACGGTCTAAATAACTGATCGGCAGAGGTTCTGGAAGATGATCAATAAATCTTAGTAGACTGTTGGTTAGAAGAGCCAGTGATATGTTATAAAATAAATTTGGAGCATCTTTTACAATATTATAAATATAAAGTCCTAATACAGCCAATATAAAAGTTGTTAAAGATAAATACACCTTTAGTTTTAAACCACTGAATGTCAGCAACTGAATTATACATATTGTGTATCCTATCCATATCAATAAAAGGGTTGAGTGTAAGATATACATGTAACCCGTAAACGTCTGTTCAGTATTTAACTAACATAATCATTTTATATATAGGAAAATCAGTGACCAGAACCTACGCTGATATGATATTCAGGACGAACATCAAAAGAATGTTGTTTTAATCCACTTTGCATCTCTTTGTGAAAGACTGACAAGAGCGAAGTCAGAAGATATTACAGGTCTGTGCTCATTACAACACGAACTGCTCTCACTTCTCGGTTTTCTCAAATAATTAGCATGTTCACATCTAATATAAACCCGTTTCAACTGAATAAATTTTCATTTACAATCGCCTACTTTTTTTAGTAGAGAAAAGCCTAAGCCTTGCAAGCTTGAACTGACCCCAGCTACGAGTGCACTCCTCGAGACTGTCTTTCTGTAACTTTTCTCTCAATTCATGCTGAGAACATATACGTCGAACCAAAACAATTGGATGACAACGTTCTAAAGTATCTAGAGAAAGACAAATTCCTTGTCACAAGTACCTATGAATCAAAAAAATAATAAACTCGTTTCCTATGTGTGATTAAGATGAATAGAGGGGTACAAAACTGGACAAGAACTAGAAAAATATTCCGGAACTGTACTGGACTTATCAGCTATGAATAATCCTACGACTGAATAGAAATAAATACAAATTGCTATTTTTAGTTTTAAAAAGAAAGAATATAACTTGCCACTTGACCGTGCGTTTCAGAAGTCGGCATGAAAGAATATGATACACTTATGGTCATAGTATTTTTTCTTGTTCTCTTCCTATTCTTTATGCAAATAAAACAAATAGTTATTACGAAATTTTGGATAATTACATACATTAGCTGTAAGTCGACGTACAGAAGTAAATCGTAACGAAAGTTTTTCAAATATTGAATATTTATTTCACTGTGCATCCAGAATACATAATGAGTTTACAGATTGCAAACAAGAGATAGTAGGACGCATAGGAATATCTGCTTTGTGAGTTTTTGGAGGGTCGTATAATCTGGCTGGTATAAAACCAGTACAAGAAGAGTTTAAAAACAACAAAATTTCCTCTCGGAAAACATGTAATAAAAAGAGGACATTCGATTGCTTTCAATAATATTTCAATTCTAGAACGAGACAATAGACATTATCGTTTGCTAGTAAAAGTGTCTCTTGCTAGCAGATCAAAAGTCCCTACCTTACCTGGTACTGATAGATCAATTCCAGTGTACGTTTTTGCAGAAAGTTATCTCAGTACAAACGTGACGAGAAAGAAAAAGAAAAAACAGTAACGTTCACGAACAGTACTAAACAGTTTTCTTCTCTTTTCTTTGTCTCCGCTGACTAGATACTATACATATAAGTGTTATTCTATACGCACGTTTTATAACTTATCATATTTTCTGATGATGAATAAAGTTTATTCAAATAAGCTTAAATAGATTTTTACAAATAATCATTAGTTCATCTGCAATCACACATACTTCATCGCAAACATAAATAATAGTATGATTAAACGAGCTGATTACATAAAACTGTTTCGGGTAAAATTGAAGCAAAAATTCACTATAACGAAAAAATATAAAATATCAATAACTCCTGATCCAAGAGAGATGAAAACTTTTTTTTTACCAAAATGTAGCCACGGCTCTATTCTATCTACGATATGTATTTTATGAGTTGGCTGTTGATGGTTAGTGGAAAAAATATAGCTAAAATATACATCAAACGTTAGCGCCACTATATCTCGAAAGCGACGTTCACCTTGACAGCATTTAGTAGCCGCAAGATTTCTCGGTAACCAAACGTCGTGGAGAGCTCGGTTAGGCCTTTAATTGAAGCTGACACGTGTGACTGGTGGCTAATAGAGCCCGGGTTTTTTTATATTTGGTCTAGATTTGGGTATAAATGAACGAAAACTAAAAGCCTCCTAAACTTTTGAATTACCAGCACCTCATTAGAAAAATAAGTGTTCTTATTTCTGGAGTGACCTCGGTTTTATGAGCTCCTATTTATAAAGTTTCTAACAGAACACAAAGATAGCGGCACTCATTAATATGAAAAGCTCCAGGACGCAGTAGTGTAGCTTTGATCATCACAGGTGGTCACCTATACGTGGACACGAGCCCTTTTCTGCATACGTCGTCCATGAGTTATATTGCTACTTTTTTCAAACAAGGGTATCTTTCTTGTATCATTCATAGCAAGTTTTGGAAGAAAAAGTAACCAAATAAACACTCCAGCATAAAATTAAAAAAAAGGGAATCAATGAACTGACTAAACTGATGCGTCTGGTGACTAATCACAAACGCAATCAAAAGACGGAACTGGTCGTTCAGAAACCATCATGAATTTATTTTGGGATAGTAATGAATAGAAAATGGAAAAATCTTCAAATGAAATCTTTATCATATAATCTACTAATACCATAGATATAAAAAATCGAAAATAAGTGTAAGCAAAACTTTGTGTTTGAACTGCATTGTAATCAAGTTTAAACAAGTCTATAATAAGCAGTAAAGCTAACAGAAGTTTCAAGCCTATATAGCGCAAAACGAACTTACCCGCTTTCTATCCCAATGTCTCGCGTTCGAATCAGTATAAAATCAGAATTTCATTTCAAATCATGCCTTAAAATGCATTTAGGACTTAGAGATTATAACGCATTGGCACTTAAAGATTGAATTAGAATGCTTTAGAGGCACACAGATGATAATGCATTATAAGGCATTAGAAATGAGATATTAGAAATCCATTGTTTTTTGACACATCTCTAATGCATTAGAATTCGAAAAGAATAATGAATTATGATGCATCATTAGAGTTTGATAATCCTAGAGCATTAAAATGCAGTAGAGCTGTCCTATTTTACGACCTTAAATAGCCCAGGGATGTCAGAATATCAGTACGCAGTGTATTCTCAAAAAGCGACTATTTATTTTTAAACCTGTTGGGCCTGGTGTATCCTCATTGTGAATACACGACAATACGCAAACAGATAAATTTCTATAAAATGTGCTGGGCTTGGTGTAAATGGGATTTTATTGCCCGTCTTAGGACCGTTACATAAACAGACAAAGAACGGACATTTAACGTTTAATATTTAATTCATCCTTTTGTTTCACCTTTTTGTTCCAAAGATACTGCGATAACATCCACCCAGACAAGTGCTGGTGATTATTACTCTGGAAGAAATTTGTTGTTTGTCATTTTCTAAAATATTGTAAAATTGTTGTTATTATGTTGTTTGATATGTGCTTTATCTTTTCTTCAGTTGTCAGGTTTTGAATTATGGAAAATGTTTTTCGATTGAGAAATCACGGAACAATGCGGTTGTTTGTAGGGATCGACAAAATCAGTTCTACTTGAGATCTGAGGAACTGTTCAAGCAGTCCGCTTCAGAGATCTGATCTGTTTCAACAGTTCAGTTCTAGGTGCTGAGCTGTCCAGAAACTATGTGTTCTGTTTTTGGGAATAGCACTTCCGGGTATAAAAACCTTTGCTCAGTACACCAACAAAGGTTTTGTACCACCGCTGCTGTTGCTGCTGCTTATTCTGATTATTTGCATTATTTTTATTTTGTTTCTACTTATTTTCGTATTCTTGGTGTTGGTCTTTCTTTTGCTGCAAATGCTCTTGATGCTGCTGCTGGCCGTGCTATTGTTGATGAGCGTCGTGCTATTGTTGATGAGCGTCGTGCTATTGCTTATCTTGCTCGTGATATCCATGATGCTCTTGATGCTAGTGTTATGGATGATGATGGTCTTACTGCTGATGGTCATGTTATTATTGACATTCGTCGTGAGGATCTCCCTTATGATCTTGTTGCTGAGGCTGATCGTTCTCGTGCTGCTTTAATTCGTTCTCTTGCTGATCTTAATCGTCTTTACGGTCGTGCTGATCTTGATGATGCTGCTCCTGCTGCTCTTGCTACTGGTGATTTTCGTTTTTATGATCGGGATGGCAATTATGTTGAATGTTGATTATCGGTGAAACTTGTGAGGGATAGCAGAGAAGTACGATTTTGCTTCGTTTTCATATGAGTTGTTGGGGAGGGGCGTTTTTTCTGGTTAAGACTGAAGGTTGTGATATTCGGCAACCGATGGCAAATTTGAATATAAATATTTGTGACTCATCGTTTTTGTTCTTTGTGAAAGTTGATTTTCTATGCTTTTTCATAGGCTTTTGACGTTTTACTACAATATAGTAGTTTTTTTTCCGTTCTGTAATGTACTATTTTATAGTTATACACACTTTTTGAGCATATCAAAGCATCTGACAGTATCAGGATAAATCAATTTGTTCTTCTGTTGCTCTATCATGTAGTATTGCTTTTATTTGAATTTCATTCTAACTTTTTACACAGCACGCAGTCTTTCTGCGTAGACACGAAAGTCTGAGTCAGAGTAGATTTTCGAAGTTATATTAACCTTTCAAGTATAGTTCATTTTACAGTAAAACGTCAAAAGTCTATGAAAAAGCATAGAAAATCGTTGATACGATAAAAACTAGACAAAATATCGGAAGTATCGATAATAGTGGAAAAGAGGCTAAAGTTTGCCTGAGATTTTCTCGAAAATTCTTTAAAATCTGTTCAAAACCCTCATTTAGACATTCAAAAACAATTGGATTTTTTCAGCTCTTCAAACTCACTCAATTCTGAATAAAATCGCTAATTTGGAACATTTTTACAGAAAAATGTTTCTTTAAAAAATTTATTTTCTGTAAATGAATGTGTGAAAAACCATGATTTTCTGGAAACCGTACTTCCGACATTTTTAAATTTATTTCGAGTTAGCCATCGAAAAGAGCATCGCTCAAAATCCTTAAGTATTGAGATTTATCAAAATCCGTCAGGTCCTTTATCCTGTAAAAAATGAAAGCTTTCTCATATTACATGCTATTGTCAATATTTAGACCATTTATTTATTTTTCTAAGTCAGAATTAATGATGTCCGTTGCATTTCAAATATTATTACTACTATGATGATAGAGAGATGTATCGTCAGCAAATAATCTTGGTTTTGACTGTATTTGCAAAGAAATATCATCAATAAATAGAAGGAATAGGAGCGATCCAAGAATGAACCCTTAAGGAACGCCTGTATTTATTGGCAGTGGATCAGACGTTTCTCCGTTTACCACTGTCTGACACATTTTTGATTCTTAAGGTAGCTCGAGAACCATTTTACTAGTTCATCTGAAGCACCTTTCTTCTTCAGTTTGTAAAGCAGACCTGTGTGCCAGACTTTATCGAACGCCTTTGAATAATCAAAGAATACAGAAAGAGTAAATTTTGTTTTTCTTAGAACAAGTGTTCGATATTGTTAAACTCCTCATCAGATTAGTAGACTACTCTATATTAGTATAGTAGGCCCGTTTGAAACAAAATTAATTCAGAATTGCCCTATACGGGAGGCTAACACGATTTTCTCGTCATGCTCATCAAACACAAAACACAGAGATACGACATCCTCGCCTTCATCATGTCGATCGATCATAGTCTTACTCTCCAATGCAAAAATTCATCACTTAAAAGGTAAAACACAGCGTGATTATGTAATTAAGAGAGATTACAGGTTTAAAATGAACTGTCTGCTTATGAAAAATCTGGAAAAGAGCAATTACATTATCGTATTGAAATACATTACAAGAAATCATACAGTATTTTATCAGTATCCATCAAGCCAATTATTAATAGTTGACTGTATAATAAAATAATGGATACCATTTTTATTTCGAAGCCAAAATGTGAAATTTTCAATAATGAACAATGAAAACCATGAAGAATCAAATATTGTAATGATCAAATAACGAACGAACAAACTTTTGTTACATAATTTTTCTTTAGAAATAGCTGAATTTGATTCTCGCACTATCAAAAATGCATTATGTATCATCTGGATTTTTTCCAAATACATATGTTTGTTGGTTTTTTCAAATGAACGATTGGATATCTTTTCTATTATTGCTATTGTTGCTGTTGATAGACAAGTATCAAGAAAAATTAAAAAAAATTAATTAAATAAATTAAAAATTAAAATGGTCCGTGCATAGACAATTTCATATTATACTGTTCCTCAGTTTGTTTCGATAACTCTTTTAATAACTCTTTTAAGCTCAGTTTCAGTTGGGATTTCTTTTTACAAAACGGTGCCATATGTCTCAGAATTATTCGATAATATAATTCTGCAGGTTGATAGCGACATCAAGAAGTCGTCTACTACTATTTGCTAATAAAATATAATTTTTGATATACTTTTATTCGTACAATTATTATTTTCAACGTTTTGACGTCTGCCAACGTCTTCATCAGCAACATAACAATTTTTAAAAAAACTCTATAATGAAATTAGAATAATACACTTCTGTAGTTCGATATTAAATCTACAACTATAGCTTATGACGAATAATTTCTGTCTAAGTGTATTTTATCTTTTCTCTCCATTTTTTCCCCTTCTTTGTTCCCATGTCTTGTATTGACGTTCGTTGTGATAGTAACGCTCATACTTTTCTTGTGTGCTCTCTCTTATATTATCTTTTTTTCTTTTGTCCATTTTTGCCTCCTTTTTTCGCTATACTTATTCTAAGTAGGAATGATAAACATACATACCTCTAAAATATCGCATGCTGAATAATAAAAAAACGAACATCATTTTTCATTGGAAACAACGTGACATTCATAGACAACATCAAATTCTACACTTTTCGATTATATAATGTTAAAACGAATTTTCAAGAGAGGCAGAGGTGCAGTGAATCGATCTCTGCATTCAATTGCTTCGGATCAGGCAACCAGTGAGAAACATTTGGTCACCACAGCGGAGTATGCAGTCACAGCAGAGCCCTTTGTATACGATCCAGTCAAAGGCTCTTTTCTACTTGATTTACCACCAGAACTATTCTATTTAATCGGTGAACATCTATCTCATGATGACCTTTCAAGGTTAAGTCAAACATGTTCTCGTTTATATCAATTTATTAACAGTGACACATTGTGGACTCATCTCATACGTTTTAAATTTCCGCCCTCTATTGCCAAATTATATACTAATGGTATATTTGAAGAAGAAAGAGATGAAGCCACAGAAACCGAAAAAACACACCAAAACAAAGCTCAGCGACCTAGCTTTCTCAACTCTAAAGACTCTGAGTGGAAACTAGATGCTGCAGCAATCAGATCAGCTGCTGATTACAATGAAACGACCGTAATTCATTTGACCATGCACCTCGATCAAAAGTGGTTTCGAGAGAACGTTCGATATTATCAATTCAACAAGACACACAGCTTAAATTGCAAAAATATTCCATTAATGAAACTGATGTATTTCTATCTAATCGATCGAAAACGAGTTGCAACCACCGATATGGTGGTGGTTCATTTGAACAATGAAAACTATCTAAGAGAAATACGTACAAAAGATAGTCTCAATGGCCGTGTTGTCAAACTGTTCAGCGTTTGTTGGCTCGATATAACAGGCAAAATGGAGAATATCCTTCCAGGAAAATATGAGTTCTCGTGGAGAATGCGGTTGGACATGTCGGCAGAGATTGATGGAACAACCGAGTTTCTTGCTGTGCCCGAGTATGGCACGTTAATCTGTTACCGGTGGACTGATGAAATAATTCAAGAAATGAAAATAAAACATGGAACAGCGTGGTTCACTGCAGACATGGGTACAACAACCATTTATAAACCGTCAACAGTTTATGTAGCTGTCAGAAATTGGACGACTCCCTATTGGAAGCAAGGTTTGTCATGGGACTGTTGCGAGCTGAAATTGTTGCCACTTCAATCAAAAGAGGGATAAGAAATGAAATGCAGCCTCATATCTTACATCTGAAGCTTAAACTGACGTCTATTCCCATTGCACGAAAATATGGGAAATGTATTAAAAATTCTCCTTCTGGTCTGAAAATGTTTTGAGTCGTAAACTCTTTCGTCGATGTTTGCTAGTTTCAAAAGCAACTTTTTGTAATACTCTGTGAATGTGCCTTTTTTACGATAATATTTGAAGGCTAACTGACGTGAGATTCAAGGTTACTGAACTTAAACCAGCAAAATAGGAAGAAATAATTAAAAGTTACAGTTCAACTGAAACTAGTCTAGTCCTTTTTTATTCACAACTCAACACTAATCACGATTTTATAGATTTTTATTTTATTTTTTCTTATAATCTCTTGTAAACAAAACACAAATTATTTGTTTAAATATTTATCATTACAACTACAATCCATTTATGGAGTAATGGTATCGCAGCGAATCTCTATCAATCAGTTCTCGTTTGTTTAAGCTCGATAAAAGATTCATGATACAATTAGTGTCTGAAACAAAAACGTGAATAACACATTCAAATCTACAAGCACGGGCCCCAAAAATGCATTAATTAAAACTGTTATGGAAGCTCTTTTTTGAAAAAAATACATATCTGATCATTAAAATCATATTGATAACAGAGAAAGTTACAAATGCATAACCACCAATGATGATACGGTCTTATAAAAGAGACAGACATAAAAAGTGTTGTTACTCACCTATCACGGTGCAAATAATCGTTGAGTAGAAAAAATGACCTGTCTCTGAGACATTCCGCATAACTCGGCTGACGAGGGAAGTACCCCAACTGATAAATCGCTTTTTCAACGAAACCGAGTGGACTATAGGTAGTCGACGATGCTGATTCTGAATATCATCATGAATGCTGCTGCTAGGCCTTTATGCTAGTAGAAAAGTAACTAAAAATTCTTAGTGACTAAAACTGAAATCAAACTGGTGACCAAAATTCTTAGCGACTAAATTGTAAGAATGACTAAAATCCTCAGTGACTCAAATCGGAATCAAACTGTTGCCTAATCTAGACATTTATTTTTAGAGTGTAATCAAGGCGAAAACACATCACCTTTAGAGGTCCGTGTAGGCTTCCAGTTGTGCTTTTTGCTGAAACTAGTCGGAACTGTTAGGACAAAAATCCTAAGATGATTTTCGTATATAGAAAGCTCGGTGCTTCTGAAATGTCACTTCATAATAAATCTAATGGCACCTATATGCAGTGGAGAAAAGAAAATGAAAAATGAATTTAGGGCTTTTCGTGTAAACTCTATAACTTTGCAAAGAAAGGTCGTGTAGAGTTGGGAGATGCCTCGTTTTAATCAGAAATTTATGGACTACAATTACGCCTCATTAAGAAAGCTTTTGGTTGTTGTTTAGAGTTTGAAGGCATTTACCATATTTTATTAACTGGGAATATATTTTTTTTGTCAATTACTATTTAATCTTATACTTGAGGATATAACAAATTTTATCAGTCATATTAGATGAAATTCCGTTTTGATTGATTGATCTAAATTTATCTCGTCAGATTTTGTCTACTGTTTCTAAACTAAAGTAATATTCTCGTTTTTATATAACATACTAATGATACTGCACTTAACTTTTACAAAAACAAAATGTGCAATCACTAATCTGTATGTAAAACCGCCAAAAGTTGTTTGATTGTCCTCTAGTTAGAATAAAAAAGAAAAGAATGACATGCTTTTCATAGATAATTGAAAAGATTACAGCTACGATGGAATCTTGTTTTTATATTACATTTTTTTTTCTTATTTTTTTTACTAAATCAGAAACGTATAATCATTGTCTCGCTTCTCTTCTATTATATTTAAGATAAAACTTTATGGTGTAGAAGAAAAAAGCGAGAAAAATGTTCAATATTCTTTACCCTTCGGAAAATGCACTCACCCAATCTACCGCTGTAAAAATGGAGTTTAGAACGAGGTAGAGTCGCCTACGAAAAACAAAAAAAGAATATCCTTAGAACAATAATCTTTTCTTAATTAAATTTATAGGATGACATAGTAGACTTATTTTCACGTTTTCTATTACTTAATCGCATTTTTTTAAATTTTATACGTGCATATTAGATGACAAAGTTTGGTTTCAGTTAATCACCTTCTTTTTCATTTATATTAATTCCTTTTTCTTTTTCAAATATTTTAAGTTAAAAATGTGTCTTTTTAAAATACTTCATTATCTCACGTACAACTGAACGTTAAATTTGGTTTATTTTCTACAGAAATGTAGTATATTTAAAAAAAATTGATTGAAAGGGCTATGTTTTTTTTTCGAAATAATTAATATCAAAAAAAGCAAACATGCGCATACAGAAATTTAAACCGTTGCACCTCTTGTTATCACCTGTGTAAATATATTGACTCATTCTGATATTTGTCAATTATACAATTCACTGATCATACCTCGAAATTAGACTAAGACTTCCAATATATTATTACAAGAGAGAATATACTGCTGATTAAATTTCAATTGTTTAGGAACAAAAATATTCATTTTGCCTCTCTTTAGAAAACAATTAATAACCATTCTATCATTTTTTGGTATCTTACCTAAACTTTATCAAATGAAAAGATGTTTATGTCAAATTTTTGTAACTTGTAAAGACGATTTCTTTGTATAACTTGATTTATTCCTTTTTTTTTTTATTCAGTTCTTTTCTTATCTTTTCTGTTCTCTTCTCTAGACGACGTCGTTCATTTCATCTTAAGGGGAAAGAATCGAGAGTCTCTTGTTAATTATCTAGTCCTTTATTAATTCTATTCAATGAAAACAAAGAAGAAGAAGTTGAAACTTCCGATGTTGATTTAGTAAACAGTGCTAATGATATTTGAAACTAATATTTTTCTCTCTTCTCATTAAATATTACACAATGAATGATAAAACATATGTACATCTATATACACTTTTATTTGTGACTGTTATTGTCATATAATCATAGGAAATGAACATGTTTAATTACAAGAAGATTTTTTAATTACATTTCATCGTCTTTCTTAAGCTGTACGATTTTTTGATAGTTAGAAAATCTTGCTATATGAAGATGGCTGTGTTTTTTTTTTTTTTAGTTAAAATACACCAAGACTAGAGAATATTGATAACTTATTCTTTTCTCTATTTTAGCAAATACCTATCTGTTCGTTTTGAAAATTTGCCAAATGAACACAACACTTTACACAAATAAATAATAGATAAATGTCAACTGTTTTAAATATTTTTTCACTCTGTTTTGAATAATCAATGAAGATTATTACCTTTAAGTATTCATCGAGTTCATACTGAGGTTACCCGTTGTGCATACAAGAATAAAAGTAAAGAGAAAAAGATCTTGTTAAAATAAATTAATCTCAATGCGATCATCCATAAAATTAGTTTTTCTATATTTCTATTGCATGAAGAAAGATGTTTTTACCTACTATTATTATTATTTAATATTGAATTTTTTAGGCGAAAATATTTTCATATGTTCAAGAATCAAAAGGCTTGAAATGAGACGTTACCTGTAATTAGATCAAGATAGCAAAAAAAAAAAAACTTTTGAGAAAAAAAATTAATTTTTCAAGATAAAACAAAAGATCATTTCAGTGTTCTCTCGCAAAAACAAATGCCATAAATTTCATTCTTAATCATACAGTGAAATCAACTCATTAGAATTTAAATTATTCTTTTATTGAAAAATATAACTATCACATTAACTGAAAACTGTTAACATTAATTGAAAACTGTTATAGATGACACTTCAATCATAGTTTTATTCGTTAGCGTATTAATAATCGCCTTTCTAAAAACTTAATGTTTTCTATGAAAATGAATATTTACTGTTTGATTAAAAACTGACCTCTGCTTCTTGTATATATGCCGATTTTTCGCGCCTTGCATATGTTTCAACTTTTCATTTTTTAAAGGAGGATGAAAAGAAAACGTGAACATTGTCAAAAATTTAATAAACTGGAACACGTGTCAAAACACGGGGTTGATCACGAGGTCTGGCACGAGTTCCAGCTTATCAAAATATTCTATGTGTTTTTTTTGAACTTTTAGGGCTTTACTTGTCAATTCGATAACTTTACAAAGGAAGATTGTGTAGAGCTGGGAAATGTCTCGTTTTAATCAGAAATGTGTGGGCTATAATCATGCCTCATTAAGAAAGGTTTTGGTTATTTTTTAGAGTTTCTGAAAAACTGTTTTTTCAGAAAACCGGGTCTTCAAGTGCCAAGAAGGTAAATCCTTTCAGGATTTTTGCTAGCTCGCTATGCTCTATCGATCAACATATAAATCATTGGAATCGGAGTTGGGCATGTCCAAAGGTTCCCTCGTGAGCAGTCTACAAAATCTGAGACTCCTGCTTCTATAGTGTTCGCATGGTTATAAGAAAAACTTCGATTTTTTCAGACTAAAAATTATTTTCTGTCCAATGGTAGTAAAATGTTCAAGTTTTGAAAAACTTTTGTTTAGTTTTACAGACAATTTCGAATGAAATATTTCTAGAGAACATTGGATCTAAAATGGTGAACCTTTAAGTGCGATTTATTTCGCGACAGTGGAGAAATGTAAAATAGATTCTAAATAAAAATTCATAACGTGACTATTTCGGGATTCTGAGATCAGTAAAGTAGAGCAAAGCATAAGTCCTACCACTCTTCGAATTCTGAATACGTCAGTTTGTAAGAACTTTTAAGATCTTTGAATTGTTATATAATAGAAAGATATATGTTTTCTTGTTCGAGAGAAAAGATTCTACAAAAGCGAGAACTTTCTGCTGTATTGGGTATGTAGGAATATTCTAAGCACTATGTGACTATCAAATTAGTGCGATTAAGTGATATTCTATGCACATTTTGCACACTAATCCGTCAACTATTCAGTCGTATATGTAGTTTGTCGTCTACATTATGTATTTTTCTCGTATTTCTTGTATTACAAGAAATACCAGAAAAATACGTCTTGCGTAACGTGACCTTTGAAGGATGATCTGTCGACGAGAAACCATTGAGATTATAGTCATCAAAATTATGCAAAACTACATAGGGTTTCACAGGTATCCTGAAATATTCGGACTTCAATCAGCTTTTTATTTACTAATACCTTTATTTATTTATTTTTTTGTCTTTTGGCTTTTTTCCCAGTATCTAAATCAGGACTGGGATGGGCTCAAGAACAACTAAGTGAGCTCTCATGATGATGCTCACACTGTTCAGTGCGAAAATTTGGGTTTATTCGACTCGACCTTGTATTTTTTTCCGTGACACGACATTACCGCGAACGGCATTACCGCGAACGACGTTACCGCGAACGACATTACCGCGAATACAGAAAACGACATTACAGTGAACGACGTTACCGCGAACGACGTTACCGCGAACGACATTACCGCGAACGACGTTACCGCGAACGACGTTACCGCGAACGACATTACCGCGAATACAGAAAACGACATTACAGTGAACGACGTTACCGCGAAGACTCGTTTATTGGAAAAGAAGAATAAA